CGCGGCGGGCCCTGGGGGTGGAGAGAGGGCTCGGGGCTCCTGGTCCCCTCCAAGCCGCGGTCACGCAGCCGCTGGGACCCCAACACCAGGCGTGCCAGACCTCCAGGTTCACCCCACCAAAGGACAGAAATGTTCTAAAATCTGCAAACACAGGGGCACCTGGCCGGCTTGGTTGGTAGAGCAGTGACTCTCCATCTCAGGGTTGTAAGTCCCAGCCGCATGTGGGGTGTAGAGGTCACTTCAAAATAAAATCTTTAAAATGGGCAAATGTGGCTGCTCGGGAATAATACGCTGGCCGAGAGCAGAGGTGGAGGAGGACCCACAGGCAAGAGTAGAGTTAAGCCCCCAACTCCTGACCTGCCCCACCCCAGACACAGCTGGGACCCCCAGAGACCCCCGCTGCGGAAGACCAGCCGGAGAAGCTAGTAGGCGCCGGAGGAATGGTGAGAAACATGGCCTCGGGCGGAGAAGCCCCCACGTGCCCCCCACAGGCCCCGCCTGGGCATGCAGGGGCTGGGCAGGGCGGACACAAGCCCACGAGGACTCGGAAGAGGGAGCCCAAGGTGCCTGCAGCCCGAGCTCCAGGCCCCACGCAGCCTCCGTGGGGGGCTATGCACCCCACAGGGAGCACGGGAACCCGACCCGCAGACCCGCACTGGACGAGGGTCCGCACCCCGTGCCCTGGCCCCCTGCCCACCTGAGGTCGGGTGGGTTCACCTCTCTGGGCCTCCGCGTCCCTTTCTGCAAAACGGGGTAACCGTGACGGTGACACCCCACGGGGCCCCTGCGGGCTCCCAAAAGTTACTCAGTGCTCGGCACGTGCTCCTGGAGTCGTGTGCCAGAGCGGCAGGGCGGTAGCCGCGCCTGAGTGTGGCAGGGCCACCGCAGCACGACCTCGCGGAGTCGGGCCACAAAGGCCGCTCACCCAAAGCGCCCGGAGCCGGAGCCGCGGAAGAGCCTGAGAGGGACTCGGTGCGACAAGGAGTCGAGGGGCGGGGACAGCGAGTGAGGCCGGGCGGCCAGAAAGCTGGTGCAGCGGAAAGTGGACAAGCGGAGACAGCGTAGAAAGGGAGGCGAGAACAATGAAACGTGAGGGTTATTCGAGTCTCCGGAGGTCTCCCCATTGTGGTCTCCGCGTTCCAGAGATAAAACACCAACGGATCTCCTGACTGGAGTCTACGGGTGACGAGAAAAACGTACCGGGAAACGGACCTCTGGCATCAGGCGCACCGCAACTAGGTCGTTGAACCTTCAAACAACAGCCAGAAAGTTCTTCGAGCCTCCGGATCGAAAGAGAAGCCGACCTGGGCTTCTCCTAAGACGCTTCCCGGCCACAGGAAAGGTCACGGGTCAGGGACATGGTGTCCACAAAACCGGAGGGAAAAGAGAAGCTGAAGATCCACAGGGACTCTTCTCCCGGTGGCCGAGCGGGGCGTTCGGACCGACAGACGGGAGGACAGCATGACTGCCTCGCAGGTACGAGTGGAAGGGGGGAGGGGGAGCGGCCGCCCCGGGAAGGGGGCCGCAGACCCAGCGGGGCGCCGGGCAACTCGCGGCGCCAGGGGGACAGAACCCGCATGTGATCCGGAGCGCGCCCGCAAGGCTTTGGGCTGAGGCTCCGCTAATGGAAATACAGAAGGCGATTTGGGAGCCGCACAGGAAGAAAAGGACCCGTTGCTTCCCTGAAACGCAAATGTCAGTGAGCGCCCCCATCTTACGTGGCGCCACGCTGGGCGGGAACCCTGAAGGAGCCGGTCTTGGGGACGCGGAACAGAAGCCCCAGCAAACCAATCAGTCCTTGACGGGATCCAGATCTGGAGCCGCCCCCGCCCACCCCACCCCCCCCACACACAGACACCTGACGCCTGCCCGAGACCGAACAAATGGGCCTTGCAGGAGGATGGTGCTGCCCAGGGCTTTGGCACGTTCCAGAATGTTTTGTGTGCCACGTACCAAAATCATCAGGCAAATGAAGAAACACCATCTTACTGAAAAAGAAAATGATGAACAACAGAAATAAACCCAGATAGAGCAAATAAGGAGTTCTTGGACGCGGACCTCATGTCTGAGTGACACGTTCTCAGAATTAAAGACAAATTAAAAAGCTTTGGGACACCTGGGTGGCTCCGTCTGTTCAGCGTCCAACTTCGGCTCCGGTCATGAGCCCCGCGTCCGGCTCTGTGCCGACAGCTCGGAACCTGGAGCCTGCTCCAGATTCTGTGTCTCCCTCTCTCTGCCCCTCCCCCAGTCTCACTCCCTCTCTCAAAAATAAATAACATTAAAAAGCAATTTTTTTCAACATTAAAAAAAAAGGGGGTGCGCCTGGGTGGCTCCGTCGGGTGAGCGTCCGACTTCCGCTCAGGTCATGGCCTCACGGTTCGTGGGTTCCGGCCCCGGGTTGGGCTCTGTGCTGACAGGGCAGAGCCTATTTGGAATTCTCTCTCTTCCCCTCTCTGCGCCTCCCCTGCTCACGCTTTCTCCCTCTCTCCCAAAATAAATAAACTTAATAAAAACAATTGGGGCAGAGAACTGGAAACGACAATAATAAAGAACTAAATGGGAATGTGAGAAGGTAAAGATTCAAAACCTGAAGTTGAGAGTTCAGTGAGCAAGCTCAATGAGGTATCAGACGCGGCTGAAAACAGAACAAAACTGGAAGCAAGACACACGGAGACACCGGGTTAGAGGCGCAGGGGCCAGAGGACAGGCCTGGCACGCGCGCAACTCGAGTCGCAAGCTGAAGGGACAGGGAGGAGGTAGCAACATTCGGAGAAAACTTTTCAAAACTAACAAAAGACGTGGAAAACAAGCAGGGGCTCACACCCACAGCACGCCACGGTAAAACCGCTAAAAACTAAAGACAGCGAGAAAAGTCTTCAAATTAAAGGAAAAAAGGTCAATTACCTTCAAACGGATAAAGAAAAAATTAAGGCAAAACAAACACGCCTTTGGACACACAAAAGGGCCTCAGCAGCCGCAGAGCAGCCCAGCAGGGGTGCGGGCAGGGGCAGGGACAGGGTCCACGGAGAGAACGCACGTGCAGGGGAGATGCTCCCCAGACAGCGCTGCCGTCGCAAACACAGCTCAGTTAGGACACGCACAACACCGGGGCATGTGCCCAGAGGAGGGCAGGGGTAGTTCAAAGTGCCGAGGTCCGCGCCATGTCAGGATGGGGGACAGTCCCACCGGACTTGAAGACTCCAGGACAGGTGACCGCGGCAGGATTAGTATAGAAACACTGGCAGGCACGCCTGGGGTGGCGCCCAGCAGTTTGGGCCCCGTGTCGGCCCCCTCCTGGAACAGGGGTGCCGTCCGTGTGGCGCAGGCTGTGGGCACTGCGCCCCGTGGCTACCCCACGCTCTACAGGGCTCCCCCTTGGCAGACGGGGATCGCTGTTGTGGGCCCCGCGAGAAGGCCACGGGGAGGCACACGCACACGCCCGGGCCGCAGGAGTGCAACACGGCACACGCGAGCTGTCTTCCGTTACTGAGTTTGTGGCCGTTTGTCAAGGCAGCAACAGAAAACACAAAGTTATGCCCAACTGCGAGTGGTAAGTAAAGTCTAAGGCAACAGGCGTCTCTGGAGCTAAAGAACATTCCAGAAGGGGAGGGAGCAGTCTGCCAGGCAGTATGACTCTTACAAAGACGTCCACCTCTGCTGACAAGGCCTCAAAATGCACCGAGCAAAACTATGAAGAGCAGCCGATGAATCTAAAATGGCACTAGGGGGGCGCCCGGGGGCTCAGTCGGTGAAGCGTCCGACTTCGGCTCAGGTCATGA